AGTTAAACTTTATAAAAAAAAAGCTTAATTTATTAATGACCTTTGTTAATTAACTATACAAATTTAAAATTCTATTTAGCTTTTTTGCATTAAGTCTCTACTAATTTTTCAATTTTTAAATGCTGAAGTTTCCTTCTTATTTTTTTCAGCAAAAGTTTATTAGTTCGTTCAAATATATGAAATATAGAACTAAAAGAACCCCTCTTTCCTTCTTGCGTCATATGATCTCTATACGAGCATTTACAACTTCCAAAACCTGAAAACGCATGTGCGCGATGTTATCGTCATGCGATGATTTGTAGGTACTTTATTTTTTACCACGATATTTTGGACGACGATGTTTTTAAACAGCGAAGTTTTTTAGACGCTTTATTTTCGACTACGATAATTTGCACCACGACGTTTTCTCCTTGCGTTGTTTTCTCCGCGACGTTTTCGTCCGCGATGCTTTTGCCGCGACGTTTTCAGCGCACACCGATTGAACCACTTGCCTGATATCGCTCATATATGAGTATTTGCAGTGGCGTCTCGTATCGCTAAAGTTTAGGAAAATGATACATGCACTTTACAAAAAAAATTGTATTGCGTGAGAACAATTACATTATATGTAAGTACATACAAAATAATTTTTATTGTATGCATTCGTAAAATTTGGTAGCACATTTCAAGAATCTAGCGGCATACTAAAGTGCCTTGGCACAATGGTTGAGAATCACTGTTTAAGACAATTAATTAAACTACAGAAAGCAAGTTGGTCGCACTTAGAAAGAAAATCGTAATCTTTCAAAATAAGATTCTGAAAGCGATTACAAACGCCCCCTGACTTGTAAGCAACCAACAAATTCATGAAAATCTTTAAAAAAAACACTCTCAAAACATTATTTTGACAAGTTCTCATATATTTTCATTTAGATCATGAATTTATTGCCAGATTGGCAGATAGCGATCCAACTCTTGAACACCTGTTCAAACGGCCTCAAACCATCATCACAATACCGTTTGACTAGGCGGTAACTTGTGACTGTGTGTAGTCTAGATAGTATTTACAAGAATGCACCTTATTACTAAAGAAAGATTCAGCATTCTCATTTTGATTTTTCTATATTGTGTTTGAAATATTCAACTCTCTATTGCCTTAAGATCCAAGTTTCTATCTATTTTAGTGTTTTGCATCAATGTTAGTTTTTATGTTGTGTCGTTAGTTGTCGATATTGTAATGCTAGTGTCGATGTTGCATCGTTTGTGTGCAATTCTTACTACCTTATTCCTATGTATAACAATGTCTTTATTTCTATTACTCTATGCTGCTCACTACCACTTAAGGAACCACTGCATAGTTTAGCTTTCATTTCTGCCTGCAAGTTTCCATTCTCAGCTTGAACAACTATAAATCTCTCGCCACGTATCGGCAGCGCTTTAATTTATATTTAACCTGTAGTCGCTAAAAACATCACCATTTACAGGTTAAAACTACAATGGTTATACGTCTGATTAATCCATCATGGTTAACGGTAGCGTTATATTTCTCATGTTTCATTAGGTTAACTTCATTTTATCCTCTTTCTTAACATACTAACATAAAGTAATAATACTTTTCAAATATTTGTACTCTAATATTCACGTTTTTATAATCCATTACTTTTCATGTTTCAGTAGATCAATTTGTTTTATATTCAAATAATTACTTCTGGTGCTCACAGATGACGCATAGAGTTTCATATGTCATTCTCAAGAGCTGTTAGTTTCGTATAAAGAAGGGGGCCTAGTCTGTGCGTTTAATATCTTAATTACCGGCAACACCTAAATAATAACTTTCAGCAAAATAGGTGAAATTAATAAATTAATGTCTGCTGCACTATTCATGCTCTGAATTCTAAGAATGACTGGGGAGAGGCAAGAGACTTACTGAACCAGATCCAGATGGTGACGAATTATCGTCCACTACACTTTCATTCGACCATCATTTTTCGGAAGAAAGAAACATGAATAATCCGCTATGCCCTCGAACAGATTCGAACAATGGATCTTCTAGTTTCCTAGCTGGACGTACTACCAGTTACCGGCAACAGCACGCACGTGGTGGAATGCAGTGATTTCTTATGAAGTGTTAAGATAAGAAAATAAATTTTTGCCTTTCGTATGTGGCTGGGAAAAGACCAAATCTTATTTCTATGTCAAACTGTAACCAGTAGTTCGACCTGGTTCGATTTCAGGTGACGCTTTGGCTGTATGTTATTCTTAATTCTCACATGTGGCGGAGGTTATTTGTACACACAAATGGTGCCTTCAGTTTAATTTAAAGATTTAATATCAAGGTTATTTTAACCTTCTCAGGACTGAAAAAAAGACCTTAAAAACTTGTACCCCCCAAAAAAAAATCCTTTCTTCGCAAATCCATTGCAGAAGAGCTTGAAATTTTAGCTAAAGTAATGTAGGAAAAAGGGGAAAGTTATATTGAAGCTATCGTGAAAGAACTCTAGTTAAATCATAAGCATTTACGAAAAATAATTTAATAGAAATTTCCTAAAGTAATTAAACAGAATAATCGAATAGAGCATGTAATTAAAACAATAAAACCAAAATAAAGTGCTCAAAGTAAGACAGCAAAGAAATCTGCATTTAAATACCTAGATTCATAAATTTACATTAAAGAAAACATGAGGCTATGATACATCTGGTTTCATAGCACCCAAAACCATGATTTTATAACACTTGGGTCTCCTCCTTCTCAGTTGCTCTTCAATTGAGCGAGAATGTAAAACATTTTCTTTCTCTTTACAGTTTGCTTTTGTAGTGGACGTAATTGGAACGTATGTCCGGCTAGCAAATCGAAAGGTCTGGTGTTCGCGTCCAGGCGAAAGCATTGCTAATTTTTCATGTCTCCTGGACCAAATAAAATGAATAACAGTCTCTGAAAATTACCTAATTTTGGTTAAGGAATAAAGGTTTCTACAAACTACCTAATTTTCGTTAATGAGTAGTGGTCTGTACAAACTACCTAGTTTTCATTAATGAATAATGGTCTCTACAAACTACCTAATTTTGGTTTATGAATAATGGTCTCTACAAATTATCTAATTTTGTTTAAAGTAATTTCTTCTGCACTCTATACATTTTTTGCACTGTCATAAGAAACACAAAATGATTGCCGCAAAACAATTAAGGAAATGATGCTTAAGCACCCATCACATCTCTGTGTATAGTGAATACATCAAAACTGGGCTTAACCGTGTGTGTCAATGGATTATGCAGGTTGTCGAAGGCTGTCTCCCTAAGATAGCAATGCCTTCGTAAAGAACTTCCTAGGGATAACTGGATCAACGTTACGCTTTAAAATATAGATGAGAAACTCATGCCTGTTCGCTAGAAGTCAAATCCCAGGTAAAATACTAATGCTCCACGGTGTTAGTCACTCGGCTCTGATGGGCCATCCACATTTTATTTTTAAAACAGTACATTGATTTAGCAAAATAATCATAAGTTTTACAAATTTCGATAAAAGTAAAAATTTTCCATTAGCACTATATCTTTATTTCACATTTCAACTGGTGTGTACATCCTCATACTACTTTAGCAACTTATTTTCCATAACAGAAAACGAAAATCTCACATATATTAACTATAAAATTCAATAAAATATAACAATCTTTATGACAGATCTCGTTTAATTGGGCCGTATCAAACAGAACTATAATAAAACACCTTGTTACAGACGAATGGAATTAGTCAGAATTTTAACTAATACAAAACTATGGGGGAAAAATTATAAAAATCCATAAAAATCATTTGCTTTGAAATTCTTTAACAAGAAACTTAAAGACAAACTTCTACAGCATAAAATAATGTTGAGTAATAATTAAAGAAAATATTGTCAATGAAAAGTATTCCAATTTTGCGTGTTATCCTGAATATCAGATAATACTGATTTTAAACTTAACGACTGCGTTTTGATACAGTTTTAAAGGAAGAAATGTGATATTTTTGAGTAGTAAATATTCTGAAAGTATTGCAAGCAGGTATTTAGAATTAATGTCAAAAATATTTTAAGCGAGTTACTTTACTTCTGCAGAATTATTTTGTTCTGAAAACGATGTTAAATGCCATTTCGTAAAATTCCTTTATTTCTTGAAAGTAAAATGCATAAAAGATTGTTTACTTCTCATATTTTTTTGCTACTTCAGTTCATTCGTATAAATGCAAATATATTTAAAATTACTCTATCCAAGTAGATACTCTATCCAAGTTACCAAGTATTAGGTAAGTATGTTAACTACTTTTAACAACAGACTGAATATGAAAACATTTTCATATTTGATTTACATCTGCAGAAAAACACCAGATCACACATTCAACCAGGGCATTTTCTTACAGGTATACGTATTAATTTTTAATAATTTTTAATTAATCAAAACGTATTAATTTTTAGGCTTTTATACTTTTTACACATTTGGCTCGTTATAAATGAGAAATTCTACCACTTTTAAAAAAAATGTTATCTGCTGTATTCTATATTGCCAGTTAAAAAGAGAAATTAAATAAATTTAAATTTATTTTACAGTTTTTTCATACCATAAATGTTTATATGGCTTTAAAGTTCTTGTTGTCTTGTCATTAAAAATAATTTCATATATCAACATATTGGTGTATAAATTCAGGCAATTCTTTCAAAAGAAAAATCTGTTAATAGCATGATTCCTTTTTAGTGTGATTTAAAATTAAGGAGCAAATAAATATAAAAACCAAGTTTTAATGCAAATTTCTGCATAATTGTACCCTAGAAATATATGGTTATTTCGAACTACATAAAAATGCATAGAACGGCTAAGAAAAATTAATCTTTTCCAACAGCAGCAAAACAATAATTTAGCATGCATTTAACGATTAAACATACCTTTCTATCTAATAATTTAGCCACATGCTATAACTAAGCTTTTTTTTTTCTGATACAAAGTACTATAGTTCTAGGAGTTTTTCTTAAATTATATTAATGATTAGCTTACCTGTTGCTACATTTATATAAGGATCCTTCATCAATTTCAGTATACTAGTCCCAACCAAGAGCCGCTTAAATAAATAAAATATTTTTTTAAAATGCCATATTGTAAATACTTTATTTATGCATCTATTTTCAGCTATAAAAATACATAAATTCTTACTTCAGGTTCCAGATGCGGACGAAGGAAGATTAGAAGCAAAGCTGGAAAAAATACAGTTGCTATAATATTTTGTAAATAAATATTGCAGTGCATAATATATAATTTATGAATACGTTCTTACACTTCTTACCGGAATCGATAAAAAGAAGGGCAGCTACTGTCAGTAGAGGAGGTGTTTTACCCACAAAATCATATATTACACTGCCAAATGGGTACCCTACTAAAAATAGATACAGTTAATGGCATTATTGTTACAAATACGTAAAACTTATTTGTTTTCTTTTTCTTATATAAAAATATAACTTATCTATACAAACTGAGGACACCAGCAGCTATTCCTCCCATTGTTATGCCCATAATTTTACTGCGTTCCTTATCATCTGGATATCTGTCTGCTATCATAGCCATGCCTAAAAATGGATTTCTTTTAATCTTAATGTCATTAATAAGTACGAATAATCTTATGAACATTCAATGGTAATTTTATTCAATAAACAATTTCTCTGTTGTTACATATGTCTAAAAATATCTTATAGAGTAATTTGTAGCAGGACCCTGAAAAATGTGCAATGCCTTTGCCGGGACTCAAACCTGGACCTCTCGAAAACCCGCCGGGTGTGCTACTATTACACTATAAAGGCATGCTAGAAGGAGAGAGAAAATAACTTATAATCGCTTCAGAAACTTCGATTACTCAAACTTTGATAATTTGAAATTTTCAGCAATTCGAACATTCCCAACGAACAGAGGTATTAGAATTAATGTTAATATTTCTCATTAACTCGAATTTTCGATTACTTGAAATATTTTTCTGCTCTTCTCAGTTTGAGGTAAACGAAATTGAAACTGTGCACTATTTTTTTATGTGATATAATAACGCACTCTATTTTCTAGCATAAGAAAATGAAATAGTGATCCGAAACGCCTAAGAATTATTCTTACTGAACTTAAAGGTCTAGAAAGCAAATAAGTGTTTCAAACAGTTATTTCAAAAGGCCAAACTGATGCTTAAAAACTAGGAAATAAGACTCAAGGTAACTTATTAAAATCATATTCTAAATGCTCAAAATCTGTCTTGATGTTTCTGGTGTTTTCCATAAATATTTTGAATGTTTTCATAAAGTTTGAAAAAGTATTCATTAAAATAAAAATACTAATTCTTTATTAAAACCATTTACATTTTTTCGATCACCAACATGTCTTGTAAAGAAGTCATTTATGCCGCAACTTTTCATGCTTGCAATACCCACTTTAAAAGATATATATAAGAATGTAAATGCATAAAATTTCGTGAATATTTTTCAATTGAAAAACTGGGAGTTTGTATGTGCTTATATACATTTAAATTAAAAGAGATCATGAAACAAGAAATAAAAATAAAAATAAGAAAGATAAATTAAATCTGTTATGTCTGTTTCGTTTTTATTTACCTGCAACTGAAATACAAGCAGATCCTACACCTTGCACGCTTCTGGCTGCAAAAAGAACTGCAAACGTCTTCCCATGCGCAAACACTAAAAAGCGAACATCAGATCAATGATTCTACATGTTTATTTTAATATTCTCGGTTTAGAGAAAGAGAAATTGAATAAAGGAAATAAAATGGAAATGCATACATATACTTTTTTCCCTACAAATATCATAGTAAATTGACAAAAAAAGAGGCGTTCCTTCTTTTTCTTTTCAGAGAAAGCTTCTTTTTATTTGAGACTTCAATCTCCCTTATTTGAGACTTCAATCCAAAAAGTATGTATTTGAAGCCTTTTTAAAGCGTAAACGTACAACCATAAAAAAGTGAAGTAAAAACAAATCGAAACTTGAATTTAGGGCCTTTATTTTAGAGGCATAAATAAAAATAGAATAAGTTTTTAATTCCGACTTCTGCTAAAATTTGCCTTGTGGTTAAATTAGGAATCTGTGTTCCATTTAAAAAAAAAAATAAAATTGTAATAGGTAAATTACCAATGAATACCAACCAGCCGATTCAGAGAGAATGGGGTGATTTATTTGGCACTTTGGGTAATACTGCAATTGTTCCATTGCTAATACTGGTTCCGATGCTATTGGCTTTAATTATGCTATATAAATGGGGGCGTTTAGTAAATATGAAGTAATTATAATTTTAATTTCTTGCCTTACATTTTGGTATTATACGTATAAAATTATAAAATTTGGAATATCTATACACATTCCTCGGGTAAATATTTTTTCAACATTTCGCTTTCTTAACAAGTAGAGACTATGAATTAAACAACTATTTCGTGCGCTAAAATTCTAGTTAACAGATAAAATGTTAAAGTTTACTTTTTAAATTTAAACGTTATTACTGTATTCTTAATAACTTTTATCTAACCCTTATTTATTCCTGCTGTTGACAGCATAACAGATCTTGGAAACCTTATCTCTTTTCATAGCCTCACTGTTATTTTTCTAAAACTCATACGTTCACACAACACATTTCTGTTTTTAGACGTAAGTCGATTCAAGTTACGTGTTCGGCCATTTCTCATTCTGACACAACACGGACGGACCTTACACCTCTAATTAGACGGGTGGCAGAGAAATTGTCAAAAAGTTCCTAAAAAGGTGTTCTGTTCTAATAAACCATGCGCAATCGGATCCTTCTCCACTTCGGCGGAGTTTAAAAGTTTCGAATTGTTTCTTAGCATCCCTTGCTGAACCTGCATCTCAGGGTCAACATTTCCGGGTGCACGGAGATCACGACGGGTAAAAAAGCCTATTGAAGAACCTGTCTTCTGGCCGACACGCTACCCACTCGAATGGGTTAAGCCAGGACTGTCCGAGACTACACAGAATGTCCTTTCTGGTCGTAGGAACCAGATCTGTATATTTTATATCCCTGGTGCAGAGGCTGCTTAGGTACAGATCCTAGCCATCACGCTAGTCAACCTAGACACCTAGACTTAAATCAAACTGCTTGTTTTATTTCTTACTTCTTAGGGCTCAGATCTGAAACACAGTTAAAATTTTTGCTCTTCTTAGCAATTAGAGAAGCGAAAGGTATTTCCAATATTAGTGCATAAAATTCTTGCCAATAGATTACATTAAGAAAACAGTATTTTTAACTCAGAAATAATTTTACGTGGATCACATTAAAAAACTAAACATAAATTAAATACTTCACATTAAACACTTATTGTAAAAGAAAATAATGAATTCCAAAACTTACTCAAAGAGGAAAGGATTAAAATCAATGTTCCGGCAAAAAGAGGTGCTGAACATCCCATTCTGTGCAAAAGCAATCACAAAGAAGTAAAGGAAGTTAATTATTACTGAATAATCAATAGTTAAATTTTACTTTAAATTTCATCATTAGAATTTGAAAAATTTGCTAACTTCTCAAAGAAGTGTAAAACATATATCTGAGAATTATTTTGTAAGATTCGAAATGTGCGTCTATTATATATCTTTTCCAAATTATAGAACATTTGTTTAGGTTCCAAGTATCCAGCATCAGTCTCCTGTGTAATTAATACATCTGCGCAAGGTTTTACTTCAATTTTTAATAAAATTATATCAGTTAGTCCTATAAATTTTCCTGTTTCTGACCCATGCTTACTCTTTTTAGAAGATTAAAATGAGCTTAGAATAACATAATGAAACGATGCGCATGGAGTATGGACAATTTATTGCTATTTGTTTTAGTTAGCGCGATTTTTCTATTAGAATTTAGTTCTATTAGAAGCGTTCTCGCTAAATTTAAGTTATTTGAATGCTAGAACATACTAAAACTGTAAGCTATTATTCGCTAAGTTCTACTGCGTCAGTAACCACAAAAGAAGAAGGGTTAAATTGCCTTTTAACTCAAATATATTCACAATTGGCTCACTCGGGCGAGCAATTAGCCAGCACTTTTGGCTTTAACTTAAAAGTAGAAAAGCATAAAACTAAACCAAGTTGAATTCTCAGCCGAAGCTGCACAGAGATATTTAAAGCGTAATTGATCTTTGGTTAATAACATCGACGTAGATTATCAGGAGTTTAATATTCGCGGCCGCAAATTAGCAAACTTTAACTAGTAGCAACACCGTGGCCAAAAGCCAGAACATGTTTTGTCTGAGGTACCACAGACACCAGCTTAAATAGTAGTTTCTACCCTACTTTGCATAAGCGTGAAACTAAAAACTCATTCTAGCACGCAAGCTTAGGTAGAAAAAATGAGAATGTAAAGGAAAGGCTGTTTCATAACTAAAAATTAACTACTAGGAAAATAAAACCCCACAAGCTCTCCTCTGAAGCGTATAGTTCGTTTGGCATCTGTAATTCATACGTGTTATCAATGTTTTCTTCATCTGTCAAGATCAAAGAATTTATTTATTGAATTATTCATGTAATTTCTGTAGAAAATATGCAGGTTTCTTGTATTGTACGAGGGCAATCCCCAAAAAAAGGTCTCCTATATTTTTAGATATACAAAGAACCGTTTATTTTCTATAATTGTTACATTACTTTAAAGATTGAAGAATGCTTTATTTTTCAACATAATCGCCATTTCGGTCGATGCATTTTTGTAGACGCTGTGGCAGTTTTACAATGCCCATGTCATACCAACTTGCCGCCATGCCCTTCAGGAAGCGTCAATCGAGTCCAAGAAGTTGTCCTTTTCGTCTCCATAGCGGCGAAGAAATTCGCGGGAAGAATCAACCCGTTGCCGTTTGTGGTCTTTTGTCAGCATACGCGGCACCCATCTTGCACACACCTTCCAATATTGCAACTTTTCCGTTAAAATCCTGTGGATGGTGCTTCTGGAAACCTCAGGAACCAAAATGCAGAGAGCATCCAGAGCGATCCTCCGATCTTTACGCATGAGTTCCTCAACTTTCACGATTGTCTCGTCGGCAATTGACGGCCTCCCGCTCCTTTCTTCGTCATGAATTTCAGTACGACCGGCTGTAAACTCTCTGCGCCACTTGCGAACGTTTTTGACATCCATGTACGACTGTCCATACAGTTCCGTCAATAGGCGGTGAATTTCAACGGGTTTAACGCCTTTTGCGTTCAAAAATCGAATAACTGCGCGCACTTCGCACTTGGCGGCAACGTTTATCGGGAGCTCCATTTCGAATGGCTGCCAAGCCAAGACTGAGCATCCGAGCGAAGCGCCTGCGTGCTTATGTGGTAGCGGAGAAGGCACCACTCACAACAGTGTTGCCAACAACCGTATTAAAACTTTCTGTACGCCCCCCAAAAATAGGAGACCTTTTTTTTTGGGATTGCCCTCGTATTTATTAGTAAGCTATTGTAATATTATTACTCTATGGTTCTGTTGCATAATTCCACAGAATATTACCTGTTTGTTAAAGGTCCTATTATAGGATTCATTATCAACTGAACGATAGCTTTGGAAGCAAACAGCAATCCAACTTCACTGTTTTCATTCACCATGTGCTGTCTTGAAGTTGGAGCTTCTTCAGCTTCTGTAGAATGTCCAGAACAGTTACGAACTTTTCCAAAATTATGAAGGTAGTTATTATTTAATGCATCTCCTGAGTAGTCTAGTTTGTAGAGCATATCAGGAACTATAGGTACTAAAATTTGAAAAAAGTAAGGAAAAAAACTTTTAGTTATGTAATCAACTTCATTAGTGCCAAAAACATATTAAAATACAGAAGGGTTAAATGTTTGTCCACATACGTTTCTGCAGTGTTTCAGTAAGCTCACTTAATTTATAAAACAAACTTATAATCACCCAAGATTCATTTTCGAAAGAAATTTTTCTACTTGATTTTTGCTATAAACTGAACAATTATAAAACATTTAGTTGATAAATTTCAAAAACTTCATTGACTAAGAGCTTTTGGATTCTGATATAAAGTTAAAGCAATTAAATAATATGAAAATATTTCACCTTTTTTTTTTCAATTACTTTAAATAAAAAATCAAATATTTACATTTTCTAACGATTTACGTAAACCAGAGCACTGACGATACTAATTACTCTGGAGAAACGTTAGGATTTTTTTAAGCAGGATTCATGAAAAATCAGCAATGCCCTCGCCGGTACTTGAACCGCGGATCTCTCGAATACGCGCCGAGTGTGCTGAAGGCATGCTAAGAAGGCAGGAGACACTCCGAAGGATGCTAAGAAGGCGGGAGAAAATCCTTGTATACTCCCCCTTTTAAAGGCCGACTGGAGTACTGGAGATTACTGGACCCAATCACTTAATCCTGGTGGTGGAGAATCATCATCCACCACCTTTTTTTTAGTCCGGGCGCCACTGTAGAGACATTAGTTTATTTTGATACGAGAGACATAAAAATGAGCAATGCCCTCGCCGGGACTCGGACCTCTCGAATACGCGCCGAGTGTGTTGACCATTACAACACGAAGTCATCCGAAGAAGGCGGAAGAAATACCTAATAACTCTTTAAAATTTCTCAAAATAGAGGTATATAAAGGCTCCTGCACTTCATGAACGCAAAATATTGTAATCATAGCATGTATTCATAGAATTTAAAAGATTTTCTGCTTAAGATCTAAAAGAAGTCTAAAGTAAGTTCGCAAGTTGTTTCTTGATTTGATTACGCTTTACAATTTCTCAGACTAGAGGAAAAAAATTCTCTTGCATTTAATGATCACAAAATATTGCAGCTCTAGAATGTATTAATGCAGTTTAAACAGATTTTCAGTCTAAGATCTAAAGCAAGTTGTTACTTGATTTGAAATAAGCCCTTCTTCGAACTTTCCCGAAAATTACTTTCTTATTGTACCTTCTGTAATTTTCCAAAACGAAAATCGTGTAATATAAAATGTTCTGAAGGATTCTTACCGCATCAGGCCAGGTGAAGTAAAAAAATTGCTGACTTTGTATAATATTCTACAGTTACTTAAGATAAGAAAACAGACATTAATCTGCTCAGCCTCCCGTGACTGAGACTCCCTTGAAAGGACTTTCTATTATCTTTTTGGAGCTTATTAATATCACTTGTTACATCATGCCTTGTATAATGATCCCAGCAACGGAAAACATTACTGCATAAGCTCAAGTAGTGCCCGCATCGCAGGAGAATCAAATTATGTGGATAACATTAAAATTGAAAAACGAATATTAGCATTACGTAGTTAAAATGCTAAAATCACACTTAAGATGATTATAATGCTCTTGTTTAAAAGGGTATCGTTCACATCAGAGGCATAGCATTAGAAAGGAAAATACTCGTAAATTACTTGTACTCGTAAATTATAAAGAAAGGAATAACGAAAAAAGGAACAAATCAGTGTACTTAAATCTTTCGTGCACTTCCAAAATCTCTTAGATGGGATAAAGCGTTTATGAGGAAAATAAAATGAGTTAATTTAAATATAAATAAATATTAATAAAATGAGTAATAATAATAAAATAATAAAATGAGTTAATAATAACGAAATAATAAAATGAGTTAATAATAACGAAAAAAGGAACAAATCAGTGCACTTCCAAAATCTCTTAGATGGGAAAAAGCGTTTATGAGGAAAATAAAATGAGTTCAAATACATACCAGCTTTGCAAAGATTTGTTACAGGGAGATGCAACGTCACTAGTTTCAGAATCAGGCTTGATGTTTTAGTGAAAATTTGCTAACTCTTAAAATTAATTAACTGTTATTTTTAATTAACCTCATTGTGCTTTTGAGCCTGTATTTCCTGATCATTTTACACTACGCTGCAAAATACTTTTTTAGCTAGTAAAATTTTTTATATTGCACTAAAATTTAATTATGCTTTTTAGTTTTGTAAAAGTAGTTTTTCGACCTGATATCAAATTTTATAACCCCAGAAATGTGTTCTGAAAAATCGAAGTCGTTTAGCTTTCTTTATCCTACTTTGTGTAATTCCTTCTGGTTTAGACTAGACTCTTCTCTTTGAAAATCCTTAAACGTAATGTGCGTATTTTCTTGAATAAATACTTTTAAGCCCCATAACTAAATGTATCATTAACGCTTACATAACTAACTGTCTTTTGCGTCAAATTTGTAATCATAGCATGTTTTTGTATTATGCATCTAATTTAGCAATTATAAAATTATTTAAAATTTTATCCTCTTTCAGAATTAAGAAACGAACTTCGTATAATATTGGTAGTTTAGTTAGCGATATACGAATCAACACAAAATAAACGTAAACAGTAACAAAAAACAATGGCGGTCTTACAATTAACTAATATTTATTCTAATAGTTAGCAAATATTTATTATAATAGTTCTGGATATATCCACCTTTTAATTTTTTTTGGACTTTTAAAACCAAATATTTCGCAAAATATTATAAGAATGAAATAAAAGGCTGATCACATTGCCCCCTAAAACTATGAAATTCCTCTTCGGGCGGAATTCAGCCCTGGTTCAGAATCCCTGCATTAGACTGATCCATTTGAATAAATTACTCTAATAGTCGAATGATTATGCTTAGGTGACAAAATATAGACCTTAATAAGCTAATTCAGCTAATGCCTCATAAGCCTATCACCTAAGTAACAATCATTTCCCTAGCAGGAAAACAAGAGGCAAGTAGGACGGCTTAGTTTGGTTTTTGCTTGATCATGGTAAAGCACATGAAGGCTATCTGTCTAAGGGAAGAGATGTCTTCGTGGAGGACCTTATAAGGGTAACTAGCTCGCACACACGTTACGCATAGGAAAAAAACCACGGAAACGCGCATGCAGCCAGCGCGTTCGTGCGGATTAGAACCCTGAACCGAACTACCAGTGTTCAGCCACCTTTCCGCTCGGCCGCTGGTGGGCCTACAGGTAGAAGGAGACAGTAGTCTCCTTCTACAGGTAGAAGGAGACAGTAGTCTCATGAGCTAGGCAACTGTCAGAGTAGTTAAAAGAAATCAGAGAGCACCCATCCTGGGAAAACTAGAGGTTAACTCAGATGAGGTAACGAAATGGTTATTTCTGCAAGCGACCTGATGTTAAAACCCTCCGGGAGGATCTCATAGTTTAAGGATACGGGGAAGTTGTCCTTGACATAGTGCATGCCTTTAGTGAAGAATTTCCTGTTGCACTTATGCAAGTAGCCAACTGCAAAATCAGTTTGTATATTATTCTGCAAGAAGTTATTTTTAATACAGTAATGCGCCCCATTAATTGCTCTAAGGAGCTTTTGAAAACGTTATTAGGTACATATCTGTTAAAACCACCTTCGGTATGAATTTAGTTTTTTCGGGAAGCACTCTCTGCAGTTCCAAGAGTTATTTCACTTTATAGCTTTGTAGAGACATTAGGTTATTTCGGAGCAGGAGAAATGAAAAATTAGCAAACGCCTTCGCCAGGACTCGAACTACGGACTTCTGGAATACGCGTCGAGCGTGCTGACCACTACACCACGAAGGCATCCTAAGAAGGAGGGAGAATTACCTTATAGTTTTACGTTAGTTATTCTCTAGAAAAATTTCAGACGTAAGAAGCTCTCCCAGTTCAGTTCTCCATCGCTAGTTGCTCCTCTCATTTGGGGGGGGGGGATGTTAGATTCTCGACTTCAATATCGATTGCTCATAAAATGCTGTATTCATTTTCTAAATGTATCTATCCTAACTTTAAGCAAAATGCTGTGCTCTTCCATGTTTCGGCATTGTGGTACATTCATATCATCTATTAGTTAAATTTTTAACTACGGATATTTTCCTCCTGTTGAAACATTCCTGAAATCTTTCTAGCACATCTTGTGGATATAAACATATATCTTTTAAGAAGTTATAATGCGGAAAGTACTGAATTATTTAAATTATATCAAAAGAGAGAGCTACCAGCTTAAAGCAAGACTTGACTCTGTGGAGAATATTTTAGGAGAAACTAACTTGAATTCGCGTTATACTTCAGGAAATCCCATAAAAACTCCCCTTTTACCGAGCCCATTCGTCAGTATTTAAATTTGGATCGAACTACAAGTGTTTAGCGGTTTCAGAGCTAGCCCTAATATATGTAAGCCAAATTAATTACAAATAAATCTTAATAAAAAAAATAGTTGTACTTGTCTGTTTACTATATTTTGCTTTGAAAATAAACAAAGCAAAATGGCAGTAGAAAACAAATCAGCACAACTAAATGAAAACAAGATCTCGAAGAAATCAACAAATTGTAAACTAAAAGAATGGCATTAGAACATGCAAAGGTAGCTTCATGGTATATATTTACATAAAATATGAATCCCATTGCACCTTTATATGCAACTCAGGCCTTTTGTACATTTTCCAGGCGGATGCATTTAAAAATATGCAGTAATCCTGAAATCATTTGAAAAACATCTGTTTACAAAACTGTTTTCAATAAATGTACATGAATACAAGATATTGATTTCAAGAGAGCGATATATATAATGGATGAACAAATAAGTTTGCACTTTATAACATTATGCTAACATGTCGTGCCCAGGATTGGATGAGACGTTACAAAGGAGTTGATCGAGCTAAGTGATTAGTAAGGTATTCGTTTCACTTGACTGCATGTAGCGTGGTACTCATACTAATGGCTTCCTTTGCTCATACTAATGGCAGACCAGTGTGAGGTTATGCACCTTAAGACTTAAACAAGCTGATATATATTCATTTTAAGTCTTTCGGGCTGCATTGGCAATCAAGGAGACATCTTCTAACCTCGATAAGAGGACAAAGGGTCATCCTGTTGCACAACATTGAGATACCTTCTGTTTCCAGTATCAGGAAGCATAAATCAGGCCTCCTGGGAAAATCTAGTTCAAATCGTATTGCCGTCGTTTCTCCCTTCGTCTTCAGTGCAAGGGGAGGGAATCTCCCCCCCCCACCCTCCATCTCTTTGCAAAACTGCCTGTTCTCTTTAAAAGTATAACGTTGATTCTAGCTAAACTGTGAAGTTGCAGGAATCGTACATTCAGAGACTTCTTCAGGAAAGGCACCTAGTAATAATGAACATAATAACACGAAAACTTTTGTATTCCCCGTTATAGATACAAAGTGAAAATTGTAACTGCCTTCTCATTTTATAAGTACATTCGAAATTCCTACTGCAAAAATTTACTAATATTAGCGGCCAGTTAGGTTAATTAATCATGTACTGTTTTCAGATAACTGTAAAACTATGCAGTTTTACTTTATAAATACGCTACAGATTAAAATCTACAAAATAAGAATCAGCGTGAATATTTAGTTTCAAATATTCTAAATTTCAAACTTACCCACTACAGTGAGAAGCATATTATCCAGGAAAAATGATAGATATACTACAAAAATGATGAATTTTCCAGACTGTTGTATTCTCCATAATTGTTTGTCCCAAGCCATTTTGTATTTTGGAGATCTTGAAATTAATTTCCACCTGAAAAAGTAATTATTTGCTTTGCTTTAGGATTAAAAGTTATTTAATGTATGCTAATGTAACTTACTATTATTTCTATTCAAATTTTTCATTATTCACGCCATTACAAAACAACATATTTAGATAGAGGCGTTTTTCTTAAAGTAACCGAAAAATATTTTTTCAGCGCCCAAGTTTAGTGATTCTTTATCAGCGACTGTCGAATCATTACCTAAACAAAATACATACTACTACTAATATATATATATATATATATATATAATGTTGTATGATCTTAAATTCACTTAGTGCGAAATCAAGTTATTCTACTACTTGCGCAATAGCTGCAACGTAAGTTAATAATAATTTATATACTTCATAATAATTATCTCCCAAGATTGATTAATTTTAGTAGAATTTTCTAAAAAGAGTGAATCCATAGTTATTAAGTTTAATTCCGAAAATTGTTTTAAAGTAAATTGAATGTAAATTGTTAAAAATGTTTAATGGGGACTTGAATTAAATCATGAATAACAAAATTTGAATTGTAAAAAGAAATTAAATTAAAAGCAAGTAATTAAATTAAAAGCAAGTAATCATTGCCATTGATCGGAAATTAGTTGAATTTTCAAGGGGAACAAACCAACTCCCGTTCAATGAACAATAATTAAGAAATAAATACGAAGGTGTTTCGTCCTTTACTCAAGTAACAAGGCGATGCTAAACTGGCAATTTAGTTAGGCCAAATATTTCCGAGCACTAAAAAACTCATTCTGATTAAGCATTTTCACTAATTCAGTTTTGAGTGAAAAGCAATTTGTGCAGTAAAATTGATAAATTACTTGAGTAATTGTCCCCCGACACCCTCGTGTTTATGCATTTTAATTCAAAACTATTTGTAAAAAATTAAACATTGGAAATTGACATTATGAAATAGAACACAAAGTAATTGAAATAAACATTAGAAAATTACGAAATATAAGAAATATAATTCAATCTTTGCAAAAAACAAATCAAAAAATATAAAAATTTAAAATTTAAAATAATATATAATAAGAAAAGGGAATGTACATGAAGATATAAAAGGCCAGAAAAAGCATTAATTAACTTACGTTCTTTCTAGTGGGAAGTGGGCAAAGTGTTTCATCGCGTCTTACTCAGAAGTTTGTCCGAAATTCTTTATCGGCGGCGGGGGCTTTGAATTATTTCAGGCGGTGAAACTTGTGTGAAGTAATTTATGGGAGAGGGAGTGACTAAGAATGCTTGAGGGACGTATGTTGTGGAGTTCTTATGTGAGTGAAACCGTCTGTTAAAATTTTGAATATACTAGAATATACTAGTGAATGGAAATTAATTAATTTCTAGCTAATTGTCGTGTCGTAACGAGAAAGGAATTAAGAAACGAAAAAAAGGAATTTTCACTGTCAAAGAGCTCTTTGACAGTGAAAGTTTAATCTGTCAAAGAGCTCTTTGACAGACTAAAGATTATGAAATAGGCCCATTTTTTTTAGTAACAGCATAAGTCTGAAGACAATTAGCTTTTTACGTTATATACAGCTTTGTAATTACACTATGTACAAATCCTTCAACTGATAGTCATCCAACTTATACCGCCTTCTCAGGTTTAGGAACAAATTATCATATCCCTATCAGTTAAATGATTTAGAGTGAGTATTTAACGCCTGCTCTTTCAAGGCAATGGTTAATAAATTGATTAGGTATTAGATTATTTTTGAAAATTTTAATAAGGAGCAAAATTTCGCGTTTTAGATCTATCGTATCTGTGCAGATATTTTTAATACGTTGTGTTTGATTTATTATTGTATTGTTAATTATGTTTTTGGATATGTTGGAATTCCAATTTATTAATTTGTTAGTATTGAAACTAAAGTTTCTTGTTTTGCCAAAAAGTAAAATTTTTTTTTGTAATTAATGATTTGAAGATCGAGATAGTCTATGCTATTTTGTGAATTATTAGTTTTATGAAGAGTAAGACAATTCGGAATAAATCTCGGAGTGTTCAATTTTATCAAAATTAATTTGTAATAAGGTCATCAATATATCTGTAAGGTGTGTTTGTAGTAATTTAAATCTTGTAGTTGTAGATTTTTTGGAAGTTAAATTCTTTGACAAAATAAAAAGATATTACAGATCGAGGTGCTGGAATGTACCCCATTGGCAAGATCCTCTGACTTGTTTAAAAATTTGATTTTGAAATTTGATGTAGTTATGAAAAAGTGTGCATTTTAGGTAGGTTTTCCATTTGTCAAGATTCATGATATCGTGAGCATATCAGGGAAGAGTTTTGGCAGATCAAGTAGACTAGGTATAAATTTGTTCTAGAGGAAGTGAGGTATATAAGTTTTCAAAGTCATAGCAGTTAATGTTTTGGATGTTAATTGGTTTGAATGGCATTAATGACAGGAGTGTTATTATGGAATGATCCAGCATATGTTATGATTAGTGTTACAATCATTGAAAATAAATTTACAGATTTTTTAAGTTGCAATTGAAAAAATAATAGTCTACATTTTTCTTGTAATTTATTAGTTCCATTAGCTAATAAATCTGAATTTTAATTGGTGTTTTATGGAATTTGGGAATCGCATAAAGATTAGTAAATCTTGTTGTAGTTTGCATTGAAAGTAATATTGAGTTTTTATGAAAAGTTTAATAAACTGTTTATTATAGATGTTTCTGTAAGGTTGGCTAATTGATAAGTAGTTGCGTTGAGAAAGTTCTTTATGAATAATTTCTGCGTAGAATTGTTTTCATATAATAAAGTTATTAGTTTGCTTTATCTATTTTTGTAATAGTAAAAAGCTGTTTTTTAATGTTTTAATATCTGATGTAAGTTTGTGACCAATTCAGTGTACTTTTAAACTTGAAGTGATTGATTTCGGTGGATATGCGTTGAAGAATTTTAGCTTTCCATTTTGAAAAGGTATCTATAGGGTAAATTCAGTTGATAGCTTGCTTTAACTATAACTTCGTTGATAGTTGTTTCGAAAGTCTTGTAACAGAAATTTGTAGTCATGTGTTCTGACTGGTCTAAATTTTGTACCATAACTCATTAGTGTTTTTAGTTGATGGTTTTATATGATATTCAGGTTGCCAGTAATTATGTGCTGGTGATGAGAATTCTACGTAATTGCTGTAAATTGGTGTCTTACAACTGTCAAACTGCTGTTTCATCTATTTCATGGTGGTTAGTCAGCAAGTTGCTTAAGGTCCTTTGATATTTAAATATTGTATGACCATAGGTAATGTGTAACAGCGGGGGAAGTAATCTTTACAATCTCTGATGATTCTTGAGAATGAATATTGTCAAACTGCGGATGTAGAAAATTGACTTTAAAATAAATTTTGCGTTGAGTGAGACTATTAGAGAGTCCGAAATACTAAAATCGGAGAATCCATGTCTTTAATAATTTGATTTGTTGTATTTTCATGAATCGTAGCTTTCATGAATGAAATTTTTTAGTTTGATAAGGAATTTATTATTACAACAGTGTAACCAGTTGAGAAGTTTCTTGGGGAAGTTTTCCGAGTCAAAAAAACATTTCAATTGTTTTTTCAATGCAATTGTATCCAAAGTGGGTAAAAATCTCGTATTATTTTTTAATTTGCTTCCTCTTTTGCCTCTTTGCGTTTTGTTGCTGTAAAGCTTAAATTGGCTGAAAATGGATTTATTGGAAGTATCTCTGTGACTATGTATATAAGTGTTAAGTCCATAGGGATAAAGTGAACGTTGTTTTAGTATATAGAGTGATTCCTGAAAAATTCGTGCTTTGTGATTGGGTATTATATCTAAGATCTGAAGTTGAATAGAGTTGAAGTCATGGTGTTTAAAGTGCTCTAATTCTGCTGTATTGATTTGTGATGGTTTACTTATTTTAGTGCTACTTTTTTGTGCGTTGAATTTCTTAATGTGAGCTCTATGGTTATTGATTCGAAAGTTAAGATTGTTTTTAGTCTGCCCTATATATTTAATATGTCAGGTGCCGCAGGTAATCATGTAAATACAGTTAAATGTTTTTCATGGAAACTGTTTTTTTGGTATTGCCTGTAGTATTCATGGGGTTAAATTTGCAAGTTTGTCATTTAGTGGAATGAGATTTAACGATTTCAATTTGAGAGATACGAGCAAGATTTAAAAGTAAGGAGGCTGCTAACCTTTAATACAGTAAAGTTTTTGTAGAAAAACTTTTAAACTTAAAAATAAAAATAATAATAAAAGGATATAAGATATGGAGATAATATATATAGTGAGTTCATTAAGTAAGAGGTAAATAGCGCTAATAGCTGCTATTTAGCATATCAAATGTTATCTGATCTTAAATTCACTTAGTGCGAAATCAAGTTATTCTACTACTTGCGCAATAGCTGCAAAGTAAGTTAATAATAATTTATTTACTTAAGAAATATTGATTATATTATCTCATAAAATTAATTTATTAGAATTATCTAAAAAGAGTTAATCATAGTTAGTAAGTTTAATTCCGAAAATTGTTTTAAAATAAATTGAATAGATATAAATACAGATATAGATATAGATAGATAGATAGATAGATAGATATCATTATGTTTTATATGCATATATAAAACACAATGATAAATATATAGTATTGGTAAAAAAGTATTTTCTTGGGTTCTAAAAATTTCATCATTTCTTCGTGAATTTTGACAAATGATATATATGTTTAACGACTAACTTAATATTAAGTTTATTTATTATGAAATCAGAAAGAAAACACAATATTTGCTGTTTTTCATTAAAAAGGCAATTAAAAATGATAAAATGTATGAAAAAGAGTCAATAAATATTTCGCAAACTGCTGTGGTATAACAAGAAGTAATAATCACTAGTCTCAAAAGCTGCTACCATGTAGTAAAGCTATCATAATTCCTACTGGCACAGTGAACAAGGCCACCCATTACTTAAGGCGTGATAGGCCAGTGTGAAACTATCTAGCATGCTATAGGAATATACATTAGAGCAGCAGTGCGGGTGATGTATTTTTTGCTCTAATAGTCCATTTTTAGAGGTGAGTAATATAACTGTTGCATCTTACTGCGACTTAAAGTTGCAGTTTGAAGCAACATTACATCTATTCGCTGAAAACGTTTAGGCCTACTGAATTACGTCATATTCTTCCATCATAACAATGTCAAGCATCAAGTGACATGGAGACTGCGGACTTCAGAGGAGTTGCTCATTAACTCAGTACGATTTATGGAAATATTGATATGTTTTGAAACCGCTCAGGATTACTCTTTTGTTAAATTTTAATAATATGTAACCTACATGACCCTAAATCTGAAGCCCTTGACCAAAATAGTCCAACTTTTAAGCCAACAATACGGTAGCACTTCCGGTTGGAAACCCTGAATAATTTCAAATTTTATCAAGAGTAGCAGACTATTTAATTTGAATTTTCAGCGGAGATACTAACTTCAAACAATGAAAATCAGGGTTACGTTCGTAGGAGTAACACTGAGTAGAATCGAAACTGCATAGGATCGACACTGCGTAGGACTGATATGGCATAGAACCGACGCGTGGACTGAGCATACGATCGACACTAATTAGATTAATTACTATAAACACGATAAGAGAGAACTTTTGAGAATGATGCATAAGAAGTAAGAGGATTAATGCACATTTGTGGACTTCATAATGTTATCGTGGGCATACGATTGAATCGACATAGCAATTCGATCCTTAGGCCCGTGCCTGTAGGATCGAAGCAACATAGCATCGACATGATGTAGAAACAACACCGGCATGCAGCAGAACCAAGAATAAGCCAATATTGTAGCCAAGAGTTATAGTTAGCAATAACACGTAATCAAAAAAAGAAAGAATTTGATTAAGTTATGATTTTTAGAGTGCCTGGGTGTCAACACCGGCATAAACTTGAAACCAGTTTCTGAACTACCTTGTCTATTCAGTGCCGGAAGAAATATTCTCGGATTTATTTAGAGTCGGTCCTGTGCCGCATTTCGAATATTATAGGATATATATGAGTTCAAAAGACAACAGTTTGTTTGTGTACGCCAGGTGATATCTCTGTCATTAAGACGGAAGATGTCTGTAGTGCATCAAGAACTACAGTATCCACGCTTATGCCTACACACCTGGAAAAGCCAAGAACTTCGTTTAGTCAGTGTAACTGACGAGGATGTTACCTGAAAAATATGTTAGTAAGTTAAAAGCATTTGTAGTTAAAAAACATAAAGTAACGATTTTCCCTTTTCCGTCCTATATATTTTACTTATAATAATTATTTAAATAAATATAATTTAAAATTTAATTAATTTAAATTTAATTTAAACCCAATTAGTTTTTCAAATTTCTATGAAGTTTCGTAAAATTAAGCTTGTTCTAAAAAATTAACATTACGATTTACATTTCATTATTACTTTAAAGTCATCTAGGAAGTATATTGCCGTTACTTTTGTTTAAGAATTTTAATATATAATGAAGTTGAATGGAAATTTTGCGTCGATTTTGGAGGAATTTTCCCCGTGTGAAATATAAATATGAGATTATAATGAAATATAAATAATCAGGTTTCCCTTAGAAAGATCTACATGAGAATATTTTACTTTTTATTCAGATATTCCTGGTATGCATGAAAGAGGAATACGCCAATGTATATATTATGTAAAATTGAACAGTAAAACAAATAGATAATTTCAAACATGAAATAAAAATAAATAAATAAGTACGAAATAAATATATATTTAAAATGTAAACACTACATCAAAATTAAATGGAAGGACTTATATTGCCTTAGATTATAATCTGAGAGTCTTTTCTCTAATATTGCAGCATTGGTGTATTTTGAAATAATTAAATAATCCTATCAAATTCATGTTTTCTTCTTTTGTTATTATTATTATTTTCATTAACTGAAAAGTACATTTACTAAGAATACTTAATACATTTACTAAGAATACTTAATACATTTACTAAGAATACTTAATACATTTACTGAGAAAAATAAGATTTTCAATATATATTATGGTATGAAAACTTCTATCAAGAACGGAGGTTTCAAGAATCAAACCAGTTAAATATACAGTATTTATCAGAGTTGTAGGATTCATCCGTGTCTAGAAGCTTGTGTTAAAGTACTGTAGACTAAAATTATCTCATAGTCTGAAACAAATCACAAAATCTACTTAAAATTTAAGATATATACTTATATTTAAATAAACGGAAAGGCATAGTTTATGCAACAGAAGAACCTCCGCTACTTGCCGATACTTAAATTAATATACCAAAAAGTTAAATTTCAAATATAGATAACGTAGTCTGAGCCTACACATAAAGTAGGCTACTCAAGCTGGCTCAAGATAATTAGTGGCGCTTATTTTTAAACATTGGTTGGCAAGATGTTAAAGCTGGAAATAAATTAGGCACAACTGGCGAAAATAAGTAACAGCAAGACGAGGCTGCCGGAAGCTCTTACTAAACATTCAGACCCTCAGCTTAAACAACTAATTTGCATTTTGGTGCGAACTACGGAAAGACGAAGTTATAGTAAAGGTTCAAGTTATAATAACTGAAAAAAGTAACATAAAATCTTGGTGAAGTAAACCTGAAAAAATTTGGTAAGGCAACATAAAAACTTGGTCAAGTTTATTAAAGTAACATAAAAACTTATAGAGTCACGAATATAAATGTGTGAAAGAAAAAGGTAAATTTTAGCTATTATTCCAAATTTGGCATTCTTAAAATGATAACTTATTACACTAAATATTAATTAAAATTATGAAATGCCAAAAAAATATAAAATGCCTACTAAACTGTCAGTCATGTAAAATTTCCAAAAAATGTGTTTTATAATGTAGCGAAAATAGGCAGATTATATCATACATACTTTTTATTTGAACACGATATGTGTGTATGACTGGCTAGATATCTCAAGGTACATTTAATGTAGGTGTTGTATGAATATTATAAAACACATTGTGTATTGTAAACAAATGTGTATTGCAATTCATAACATACACTGGGTAATTTTGGCAATTATTCTACCCTTGCCTTCTTTTCATATTTTTCATTTTGAGCTCATCAATACTTAAAAAATATATATCTGATGTAATTAAAGGGCGAAAATTTGACTGGATTTTTCATTTCACTTCCTAATATGTATTCATTTCGTTGAATGCTAATTTTTTTTCCTAAGAGAAGCCAGAAAAATAATAACTTAAGCTTTCGGGGCAGGCCTAGAAATATAAGATAAATGTTTAGGTTGTTTTATAGCAATACTTTAACAGACTTTTAAGTATTGCATTTCTTATTCGGCAGTTACACAGAACAGCAGCATATTTAAATCTAATTCTAAAACAAATAAATAATATTAAAGCAAATTAAATGCATTGGTAATAGAGATGGTGCTCAAATCATCGCTTTCTGCTCACTTAAGAATAAGGGGACAAAAGAAATAAAATAGCTGAGCTTACGAGAAATACTCTGCTTCAAGTACTCTTCGGAAGTAATTGCGGAAACTGTTACGTCCAACTGGTACGATCTCGAAGATCCCGCCAGTCCATATGATAACACCCTCCACACGAGCCATCGTCTAGTAATCGGATTATAGCTCAAATCCTCTTCCGATTGGCTCATTTCGGATGGAGGATTTAAGCCTGCTTAGGCCAAACCGGAAAACAATGTCCTACAAGTTATCAACATTTAGGGACGAGATTCTAAAAAATCAGAAAATTTTCTGTTCCTTTTCTCCGAAATGCACATAAATTTTTTTCTATCGGAAGAATAAAACAAAGCACTAATCAGCTAATCTGAAATAAGTTAGACGAAATATTAGCTGAAAATTCACCATGCATTTTATTCAGCATAAACTAACTTCTTATATACCGTTAAACACTGCTAATAGTGTAATTTTAAAGTTCGCGTTTTGATAGATCGCCGTATTCCAGGATCTTAATACTTCTGTGATTTATTTTCAGAATGTTACTATCTTATCATCTAGAACGTTATTCAAGTCGACTAAGGGCTCTATAATCATTAGTATATTACTTATATTAACAGTTTTGAATTTGAGTTAAAACCTGTAGCATTTTTCTTAATTCCGTACTTGGAAGAAGAATTTCGAGAGGAAAAATATAAGCCACTTTAAATAAATAAATCTATTTCTAAATAAAATCATATGAGGAAAATGATAAGCAAAAATTCAAGAGATTTATAGCTCTGGTCTGCCGCTTAATTGGCAAAATTGTCTCATTGGTAAAATTTTCACTCGCTGTTTCTTGAAGATGACAAGCAGCCTAAATTTAGTCCCTAGGTCGCCCAGCTGTTTTACCATATTTCATTTAATGTCTAAACTCTGAGTAAATTATTAATTCTTGCTGAAAGCAGACTTATTTACTTTGCGAATGTATAATTAAGTCAAAGCTGTGTGTAGTAATATTTTAAAATCTTTCCCATTGCTGCTGGGAAAGAAATTATTAAGCACTAGAGCTAAAGTGGCTTCAAGACTTTATATCTACAACAGAAATTCTTTTAGGTCTGTTGAATTGAATACAAGTACAGAGATAATTCTTTGCAGTTTGAATGGAATGTTTGTTTATTCATGCAAAAATAGGCGAGGGTGTCTGACTATCTTCGTAAAGCAGCTTTTAAAGAAACTACCGTCTTCTATTCACATCACTTGGGAAAAACAAGGAAAACTAGACCTTTTCATTTCATAAGGCCAAGAGAAAACCGGCCGTAGAAGTTATGAAACTCTAAGCGAAAACAGTTCTTCTACATAAAATTTGACAAAGGATGTCAAAACGGGCTACGGAACTCTGTTTCGAAACATGAGATCTTTACAAAGTATTCCAATTCATGATTCAAGAATTGTTTTACTTTTACTCAAGACAAACATTTAACAACATTAACAGTTTTAGGTTCGTTAAAATCATTAACACTTAACTCTGGCCAAACCAACTGATGTCCTAACACTTAGCACTAGCTCTTGTGAGTGTCATTTGGTGTACTTATATCAAACAATTACATCGTGGTGAATAAGTACTGAAAGTAATTTGGCTCTAGCAAGGTAATGCTCAAATACGATTTTCTGCAACATATATGGCATTGTACACTGGTCTTCAAAATAAGCAAATTTAAAAAATGCTCATTGTTATTTATTGAAAAATGATTAAAATCAATTCGCGCAAAAGCATTATTTAACATAAAGTACCGTGTTTGCTAGTTGATTAATCTCAAAATACTATACTTAAAGTCCCATTTATGGAAATTTAAAAACGATAGAAAAAAGACCTTCATGTTCGACATTAAATATTTCATTAATATGTCGTATGGTTTGAAAAATTACAAATCGTGTATCTTGATTTTATAGTATTCTACTTATCCCGTTGATCAAGGGTCGTGGAATTGCCCGCCACTCTTCAGAGCCTGGTGGGTCCAAGAAGCATTTGACGCACTGTGCTTTGGAAGCCTGGGTACAAATCTAGTGAGTAAACTGGCCAATCCATTCATTTTCCATTTCTAAGTACTCTAATACAGAGATCTTAGATAAGAGAAGTACTGTCCTTCTTTAGCAAAACCTCGGAGAAAACAGTAACACAAAACAGCTTCGCATGGGCTTCGATGACCTCATTCACATATCTGTGACTAGTTAGAGAATCCTCATCAAAGATATGTATATCTGTGTAGCCATTTTTTGATAACTCCTCTTTAAGTTATGAAATCGCTTCCATTAAAAAGGGATATTTTATGAATTAAGGAATTCATATTGCGTGTTCCTAGACCATATCTATCATACCAGGCTATATCTGGCCTCCTCGGTAAGCAGCACACAGCCCCGTTCCTCTTGGCTCCAAGAAACATAGCATCCCCTTAAACTGGCCCCTTTGAAAGATAAAATGAATGGAACACAACCATTGGTTTACTCGCGTAACGTGCAACCTCTCGAAGCCTTCGAAGAAGAATAAGTGCTAATTCGAGTTTCTGGTGGCAGCCTGAAAGTCAAATTCTTTTGTAGTATTCCCCAGCTTCTTCGAATTAACAATGAACAGAAAGGCTCTTGGCTGCCTTTGACGAGGTTATTTACGATGTGATTCACTGTTTGAAAAGAGGTACGAAGTTCTTCATATAACACTTTGAGGGATATTCAAATCTTGATAGAACTTTATTTGCGTTTGCCACCCCTTGAATCTATCAATTAACCACCAATTTTTCATTTCTCTTAAATAATGTATTTCCTCATAATTATATAAGGTATTTTATGTTAATTAACAAATTAGTACGATTTAAACTTTTACTTTAACTTCTCCTTTCCGTATTTCTCACCAGAATACAAATTAATTATTTGTCTGTTTAAGCTGAGAATTTTGAATGCTTAGATTAGAACGTCTGGCAGCTGCGTCTTTCTTTTACTATCTCCAGCTCTGCCTAAGTTGCATTCTGGTTTTACCGTCTTGCTAGCCGATGTTTAAATTACGAACCGTTAAACATCTGAGAGAGCTTGATTAGTCTGTTTTTAATGTATTCTCAAACTACGTTACCTACATTTGAAATTTAATTTACTGTTATGTTGATTTAAACACCTGCAAGTCGCGGACATTCTGTCTGTAGCACAAATAGTGCTTTCTGTTCATTTAAGGCTTACATTAAAGGGTGAGTTAATTTAACTTTCTTTAGACTCTGTGATTTGCTTTATATCAAGCTGTATCTCGCTATCAGTCTAGCAGGGCCTGCATGGCTTTGACACAAGCTTCTGGTTACAGTAGAATCCTAAATCTAATGAATACTTATCCCTTTCAGAAACCATATTAATATTAAGGAACCCGCTTGAATTCCAACATGCGTACATTATTCAACATCTTGCATATGGCATTAACCTTGTAGGGTTTATATTTATTTTAACTAACATTTATTTTAAGTTTAAACTATCTTTCCTGTCAAGCCTTACTTTCCCCTGGAACTGCCAATGCCAGAATATGTAAAATTTGAGTAGAACGCGCAGCATTCAAATTATCAGCGGAAGTAGTGATTTAAATAGAAGGAAACGAGTTCGGTGAGAGAGTTATTCTTACTTAGCGAGCGCGAGGTAGAAATCGAGAATTGAAGAACCCCGCGTTGCGGCCTATGTGCTTGGCGGAAGTAGTTTGCAATGTTCCAGTGACCTTCAAGTCTGCTGAATTAGCTGCGGTATTTGTAAAACGCGGTAAGTAGTTATTTTAAGAGCCTCGTAGTTAGAATATTGTCTTACTTCTTTCAGGTTCTTTTTTATTTTGACTGCCGATTGGCACCGTTTGTAAGCGTCAAGAGAACGCATTAGATTCATTACGTTGAATAAAAAGGGACTTAAACCCTTTACAAGACTCTGTGGTTTATACAAGCTTTCACAGTCACCTCTTGGTTGCGTGCTAGTTAGAGGCGCGCAACGTTATAACCTAAACGTCGAAATCTAGTTCAGCTCCCAGATGCAGATAATTAACATAAATAATTACATCATTGGAGAATATTTGAAAATTTTAATGAGATTATTTTTCAAATTATACTATAATTTGTGAATTTGAATTAGACTATAATTTTAAAGATTAATGTAATGAATAATTGTTGCCCACGAATCATATTGCTAGTTTGTTCTAGGTTTGTTTTTCAAGCAAAAAATATTGCTGAATGGGTTTTCTTAGTTTTTTCCTTGCGTGATGTGAATCCGAAACACTTTCTCTTAAAAGTCATTCCTTTAACTCTCGTATAAGGCAGATAGCCCTAGCAGAATTTAACATAATTAATTAACTAAACAAGCGAGCAATGAATTATACCTGTATGTGACTATAGAATACTATTATGAAGCTAATCATAATAAAACCATGCCGTATATTAAATCTGAAAAATATAGCACAGAAATTTACCTACATAGAGATAACTTTAGAATAACAGAAGTTATTATTATTGTTTGAGCTGTTATTTTATCCCCTCAAATAACACCCGATTCAGTCATTTTGCCACTTGTAAATAAATGTGAATGCGGGGAAGGGAGAATTTTAAGCATTAGTGTAGTTGAAGGATCATCATTTAACGGTTATGATAACGAAAATGATACAGCTATATATGTCAAAAATTTTATTTAAAACGCTTCACATTCTATTCAAAGTTTGTGAAAAGCTAATTCTAATACTCCGAAAAGTTTAGGAGCAAAAATTGCAGAGGTGGGAAAAAAATAGAAAATTAAGGCTTGTAGAGTCATTGGGTTATTTTAAGGCTGGAAGACGTGAAAAATATGCAATGCTCTCGCCGGGATTCGAACATGGAACTCTTGAATACGCGCCAAGTGTACTACCGTTACACCATGAAGGCATGCCGAAAGGAGGGAGAAAATAACCTTATACGTTGTTTTAATTATTGCTTTGTTTTTTATTATTTACATTAGACTTTTCTTGTGATAGTCTTCGCTCAGAAATTAATAATCTCAGTTGAATTCTTCTCGCGTAAAGAATCAATAATCAAATAGAAAATGTTCTGTTAAAGTTTTGTTATTTCATGACATATAAAATTG